TTTCCATCCTTTTGGCAATGCTATGACAAGAAAACTCGATCTGATACAATCTTTGCTACTGGCACAAAGGTTACTTGGAAATCCAAGCATTCAGCTTGGTGAACCCTTTTGCAACAGCCTGGCCTTGTAGCACTCCACCGTTCCATTAGAATTGTACTTTTATCTTGTAAAGTGTAAACCCATTTGCAATCTGAGTCTCTTTCTGGCTGATTGGCTCTCCACCACCCAAGTCTTGTTAGATTCTAAGGATGCAATTTCTTTTGACATTGCATCTTATCATTATGCATTTTACGAAAGAGAAAACGAAGAGACAGTGTAATGTATTTTGACACTGTCGTCTAATCATAAACAACAATGTATCCTAATGTAGTAAGTTTGTTAATGCTGATAATAACTATCTTAAAAGTCATGCCAAACATGTTTTCTAACCATTTAATAGTGTAAATTAAACTCTTTACAAAAACTACTTAAAAATCATTCATATCATGATTTATAATTGGTTGATGATGTAAAACTATTTTACAATATCAGTATATAGCTATTAACATCTTATAATAATTACCTTCAAAATTACCCCTCTGGACTCTAATATAAACAAACAAACAAACAAAAATTTCATGAAGAAGCAAATATTAACTAATTTTACCCTTTTTAATGTTTCATCTCCAAAACACCCTTCATTTAATTGAGATTTTACTCTTTTTTATTATTGTATATCAAGTTCAGGTAGTGTCGGGAAAAAAGATTTTTGAGTTTTTTTTTTCTAATCCATTGAAAGTATAATGAAAGCACTAAGATTCAATCCTAGGACCCTGCCCATGATATCCCTATTTCATCACTAAGCCGACTCTAGTGTTTCAGATTTTTTATTGAAATTAAAAAAAATTAAACAATGTTAATTAATGTTTTAATTAGTTAATTTTGCTACATTTGGATCATAATCAAAAATGATTTACTAAACTCTTTAACTAACAATTACTTCCTCTAGACCAAAGTCAACCAAACACAGTGTTAATCACAATTCACAAGCACATTCGCGAAAGCAAGACGACGAAAGCAACTAAGCAAGCAAACCTGTATAGCCTTCATGCTGGCATTGGCAGGAATGGCTCTCCTGAGAGCAACCTCTCCGGTCCTCGGAACCTTCGTATCCGGCGAATACAGAACCGCTTCGGCAGCACCGGGATACGACACGTAATCAACCACCAGAACCAAGGCACTAATCTGAACCGACGCAATCACGACCGGAACCACACTCCTTAACCGCTTCATTATCGTCTCCGCCGAGGTGACCACCGCCGCCGCCGCCGCCGCTTCCTGCATCATCATCAGCAAAACACGCTTCAGCGAAACCCGCACGTGACACAGAGAAAACGGTAAACGTGGCATTGCGATGCGACCTTCGCGTGTTGCTTCTTGGAGAAGCATGTGATTCGGCTGGTTGGAGCAATGGAAAGGTTGAGGGAGGGAGAGAGAGGGAACGCCATTGAAGCCAAGGAATGAAGCTTTGGTGTGCGTGCTTGCGTGCGCGCCTAATCTGTTCTGTTGTTGTGTGGAAGTAGAAGAGCCAACACGTGTCCACTGTGGGTATTGATGTGTAATTACATCTGTGCCCTCGATTTAATGAAACAATGACGAAAAGAAAATATATAATAGAATTTAGGTCCCACCGAGATTTGAACTCGGGTTACTGGATTCAGAGTCCAATGTCCTGACCACTAGACCATGGGACCTGTTTGTTTAATCCCATTAGTAAATATATATATTACATATTTGAAATTCTTCCAACTTTTGCCCCCAAACATTATTTGATTTATAGCTTCGGTTTTAAAGTTTCTGCTCATTGCTTCTCTAATAAAATATATATTTTTTTATCTATCATGACAGCATCACGAACACAATTGTGTCTGCATTTCTTTTTATAGTTTTTGTTTTTACTATATCAAGATTATAACAAAATCACATACAATTTAAAACCTCTCATTATACACCAAAATCTTGAAGACAAATCTTGGATGTTAAATACGGGTTAGCAGCAGGTGGGAGTAGGTGAGTGTTTTACCTCTTTTTAAATGTTTCATTTGTTACTCAAAAGGTACAAGCTATTCTGGGAAGAACCGAAGAAGTAGGCATGGCAATCTAACCTGCCTTTGTGGGTACCCGTTTGAATCCATCCTGATTTGAACGGGGAAAACTCTTGTTTATTAGGTTCGAGTTTTTCTCGATTGATAAAATCGGAGGCGGAGACGGGGGCAGAAACGGAGATGTTAATACCCGCCCC